GGGTAGGAATTAATGGTAAATTCTCAGAATGGAGAGGGGTAACTAGTGGTGTTCCACAAGGGTCAGTCCTCGGACCAATCCTATTCAACTTATTTATAAATGATCTGGAGAAAGGGGTAAACAGTGAGGTGGCAAAGTTTGCAGATGATACTAAACTGCTCAAGATAATTAAGACCAAAGCAGACTGTGACGAACTTCAAAAGATCTCACAAAACTAAGTGATTGGGCAACAAAATGACAAATGAAATTTAATGTGGATAAATGTAAAGTAATGCACATTGGAAAAAATAACCCCAGCTATACATACAATATGATGGGGACTAATTTAGCTACAAGTCAGGAAAAAGATCTTGGTCATCGTGGATAGTTCTCTGAAGATGTCCACGCAGTGTGCAGAGGCGGTCAAAAAAGCAAACAGGATGTTAGGAATCATTAAAAAGGGGATAGAGAATAAGACTGAGAATATATTATTGCCCTTATATAAATCAATGGTACGTCCACATCTCGAATACTGCGTACAGATGTGGTCTCCTCATATCAAAAAAGATATACTGGCACTAAAAAAGGTTCAGAAAAGGGCAACTAAAATGATTAGGGGATTGGAACGGGTCCCATATGAGGAGAGATTAAAGAGGCTAGGACTCCTCAGCTTGGAAAAGAGGAGACTAAGGCTAGGTCCACACTACCCGCCTGATTCAGTGGGTAGAGATTGATCTTCTGGGATCGATTTATCGCGTCTCATCTAGACGCGATAAATCGATCCCAGAAGTGCTCCCCCGTCAACTGCGGAACTCCTGCTCGCCGAGAGGAGGAAGCGCTGTCGACGGGGGAGCTTGCCTGCGCCATGTGGACCCGCAGTAAGTAAACTTAGTTCGATCTAGGAAACGTCGACTTTAGCTATGCTATTCTCGTAGCTGAAGTTGCGTTTCCTAGATCGATCCCCCGCCCCAGTGTGGACCAAGCCTAAGGGGGGATATGATAGAGGTATATAAAATCATGAGTGATGTGGAGAAAGTGGATAAGGAAAAGTTATTTACTTGTTCCCATAATACAAGAACTAGGGGCCACCAAATGAAATTAATAGGCAGCAGGTTTAAAACAAATACAAGGAAGTTCTTCTTCACTCAGCACACAGTCAACTTGTGGAACTCCTTACCTGAGGAGGTTGTGAAGGCTAGAACTATAACAGCGTTTAAAAGAGAATTGGATAAATTCATGCTGGTTAAGTTCATTAATGGGTATTAGCCAGGATGGGTAAGGAATGGGGTCCCTAGCCTCTGTTTGTTTGTCAGAGGGTGGAGATGGATGGAAGGAGAGAGATCACTTGATCATTGCCTGTTAGGTTCACTCCCTCTGGGGCACTTGGCATTGGCCACTGTCGGTAGACAGGATACTGGGCTAGATGGACCTTTGGTCTGGCCGTTCTTATGTTAGGGACTTGCTGTACCAGGAAGCCTCAGTCCCAGCAGTGGCACCAGACTGTGCTTGGGTTTTTCTCCAAGTCAATGACAGTTCACTTCAGAACTGTCTGTGTTGTATCTGCAACATAACTGTCCCCTGAGGCAGGAGTAAATCACCAATATCTTCCTGTATGTCAGGCTTTTCTCCTTGCTGAATGGCTGCATCTCTCCTCCCATAGGCATTCTCACGTCTGATCCTGATTCTCCGGGCACTGCATGTAAACAATGACCGTGCCAAAGTGATTCTGAAACCAGACAAGACCACCATAACAGAGCCTCACCACATCTGGCCCACCCTGACAGATGAGGAGTGGATCAAGGTGGAGGTGCAGCTCAAGGACCTGATCCTCGCTGACTATGGGAAAAAGAACAAGTAAGCAGCAGAGATCTGTCAGCATAGGACCAGCCCTTACCACCCCTTTCCCTGCCACAGTAACAACTGTACTTCCAGACTCCTCCACCTGGCAGAGGGAGGCTGAAAGGGGGCCCATTGGCCTCCCCTGCTTTCTCCCCCCACAAATCGTTGGAAGTGCTGGACCAATAGGGAAGCTAGTTATTTCTGTTAATCACTTTCAGCTAAGAAGATGAAGTGTCTGCATCCAAACTTCCATGGCAAGTGTACAGTGCAAGCATTTGTGCCTGCATCCGCTGAAGGGCTGTTGAGGTGTAGGCTGCAATCAATATGTCCCTGTGAGCCACTTTCCTCTCCCCGATTGGGTCTTGCTCCACTCTCCCCCAGCTAGTGTTCTGTGAGCTCGTGTCTCAGTGGGGGAGGGGGTTTCAGGAATACATCTTAAAACATCTAGCCACACAGGTGAGTTTTCTTTTTCAGCGTGAATGTGGCATCCCTGACGCAGTCGGAGATCCGAGATATTATCCTGGGGATGGAGATCTCTGCCCCCTCTCAGCAGAGACAACAGATTGCAGAGATTGAGAAGCAAACCAAGGAGCAGTCGCAGCTGACGGCCACGCAAACCCGCACTGTTAACAAGCATGGTGATGAAATCATCACCTCCACGACCAGCAACTATGAAACTCAGACCTTCTCCTCCAAGACGGAGTGGCGAGTCAGGTAACGGAAGGGGTCTGGGCTTGCTGTGCTGGGTGGGAAGGAGGAGTGCAGTCAGGTGAGGTCTGTTACTGAGCTGCTGGATAATCTCTTATTCACAGAGCAATCTCTGCTGCCAATCTCCACTTGAGAACAAACCACATCTATGTCTCGTCTGATGACATCAAGGAAACGGGCTACACCTACATCCTTCCCAAGAATGTGCTGAAGAAATTCATCTGCATCTCAGACCTCAGGGCCCAAGTGAGTGTGTGGAGCAAGCCTACATTTAAAAGCCAGCTCATCACACTGGGATATGCCAGTCCTGGAGGCTCAACCCTGCCTCTGATTCTCTAAGGCCCAGAGGTGGAGGAGAATTCCACTGAGCATCAGTGATGGCGCTACACACACTAGTTGAATTCCAGTTCAGCTCCAAAAACTCCATGTCCCCAATCTTGTGTAGTAATTATTTCTACCACTGAAAAAAATTGGGATGTTCCCTCTGCTTGTGAGGATCCCCAAACAAAGGGCTGTTGACCTTGGAAACGCAAGGTAGAGTGGGTGCACCCTGTTGTCATGGCCTTACAGGGAAAATACCCAGGGATTTTACTGATGTTTGTGCCTATTTCTAGATTGCAGGGTACTTGTATGGTGTGAGCCCTCCAGATAATCCCCAAGTGAAGGAGATCCGGTGCATTGTGATGGTGCCCCAGTGGGGAACTCATCAGACGGTGCATCTCCCTGGCCAGCTGCCGCAACATGAGTACCTCAAGGTGAGTCTCATTCCTCTGTCCCTCACTTGGGGCCCGTTCCGCTTTGGGGAAAGGGAGGCTTTTAATCAAATGATTTATAGACAGTGAGGCTATAGTGTGTGTGTGTGCCAGTGCCAGGGCCGGCTGCAGGGTTTTGGCTGCCCCAAGCAGCCATACAAAACAAAACAAAACTAAAAGAGCCGCGATCTGCGGCGGCAATTCGGCGGGAGGTCCTTTGCTCCCAGTTGGAGTGAGGGAACGTCCGCCGAATTGCCACCGAATAGCTGGACGTGCCGCCCCTCTCCGGAGTGGCCGCCCCTCTCCGGAGTGGCCGCCCCTCTCCGGAGTGGCCGCCCCTCTCCGGAGTGGCCGCCCCTCTCCGGAGTGGCCGCCCCTCTCCGGTGCCTGGAGCCAGCCCTGCTGCCTCTAACGAGCCTTCTCTCATTAGGAAATGGAGCCCCTGGGGTGGATTCACACGCAACCGAATGAGTCCCCTCAGCTCTCGCCGCAGGATGTCACCACACATGCCAAGGTCATGGCTGACAATCCCTCATGGGATGGGGAGAAAACCATCATCATCACCTGCAGGTGCACAAGGCAGCCAGGTCTTCACTAGAAATATCCCCTGGGTCCTGGCTTCTGTGGGCTGCCTGAGCCAGATACAGGAAAAATAATCTAAATCCAGGCCTCTGAAGATAAGCTGTGGCCAGGTTTGGAATGTGCATGCTGTGAGCTGCTTGTCTTTGGAAGCACGGGTGGATATCATAGTCTGTTTTGTGTTTGCAGGATTAGCACCTAGATTAAAGTAAGATAAGACTGGGAGGTATGGTGTAGGAGACTGGCTCAACATGTTGCACTCATTTTCTGGAAGTGGATCACTTTGACTATGAGCTAAAGCAGGGGTGGGAAAACTACGGCGTTTTAATCTGGCCCTCGAGCTCCACCTAGGGAGCGGGTCTGGGGCTTGCCCTGCTCTGTGCATGCCGTGGCCAGGAACCGCGGCCAGTGGGAGCTGCAGGGGTGGCGCCTGCGGATGGGGCAGCGTGCAGTGCCACCTGGGTGCATCTCCGCGTAGGAGCCAGAAGGGGAACATGCCACTGCTTCTGTGAGCTGCTTGAAGTAAGCGCCACCTGGATCCGTGCCCTGACCTCCTGCCCCAGCCCTGATCCCCCTCCGAACCCCTTGGTCCCAGCCCGGAGCCCCCTCCTGCACCTTGAACTTCCAATTTCTGGCGCCACCCCAGAGCCCTCACCCCCTCCTGCAACCCCAAATTTTGAGAGCATTCATGGCCTGCCATACAATTTCCATCCCCAGATGTGGCCCTCGGGCCAAAAAGTTTGCCCATCCCTGAGCTAGAGGTAGTATTCTTTCAGCTGGGGGGGAAATGTTTGCACTTAGCTTCCTCCCTTCAATCTCAGGGTTCACCTGATCTGCAGTTTTGGTCACTACCACTTTCCTTCTCTTCAGTTTTACCCCAGGCTCCTGTACTCTGACCGCCTACAAGCTGACTCCCAGTGGCTATGAGTGGGGCAGGCAGAACACAGACAAAGGAAACAACCCTAAGGGCTACCTGCCATCCCACTATGAGAGGGTGCAGATGTTGCTGTCAGACCGCTTCCTTGGCTTCTTCATGGTACCAGCACAGGGATCCTGGAACTACAACTTCATGGGTGAGTCCCTACTTAGCCGACTGTCCTTGGAGAAGTGGAGGTTGTGCACCTCCTCAGGCTGTTAGGGGAAGGGGAATGTGGTTGGTGCTCTGAGCCCTGTATCACATCTGAGCAGCTTGTTGACTGAGTTTTCAAAGCCCTACACTCAATTCCATGGTGTCTGTCTGTGACATGGTAACTTTTGAATGCCTCATCTGATGAAGGCCAGAATTTCAGGGAAAGTTCTAGGCATCAGTGGGCAGAATCCTATTGAGGGGTATGTGTGGTTTTTTTGTTTTTGTTTTTTGGCAAATTAGAAAACTGGAAGGGGAGAAATGGGTCACAGAGCTCCTGCTATCTGTTTAGTAGAGCCAGTTTCAAGCACATCTGTCTGTAGATCAAACAGGCTGATGGTACCATTTAATGCCTTCCAGGATAACAGTATCCCTGTTTCCTCTCTGCCCATCCTCCTAATAGCTTCTAACACATTGACACCCTGAATGACTTCCCACACCAAGAACAATAATAGGGGGAATAGGGGTGGCATGGCACAAGAATGGGGAACACAGCTCTTGGCATGAGGAAGGGGCCTGGAATTTCCAAGGAGTGCCTGAAATAGAGGGGGACAGAAGAGATGCAAGTCACTTCTGATATATGCAAAGAGCTCAGCCTAAAGAAACGGGGTGTGTGCGTGAGAACATGCCTCACTCCCCCCTTCTTCCCCCACCCCCCTCCCCCCTCCCCGTTTCAAGTCTCTTGATACTTGCGCCCAACTACAGGTGAGATTTCTTTTCTAGTAGGGGCTTGCAATGATTCTATGAAAGCTAAAGAGGAAGGAAACCTGTCCAGCTCATCATGTGTTAATCACAGCAGTCTTGTACCTTAAACATGATTAGTAGCTTCCTGCAGGGGGTTGTGAAGAACAGGGTAAGCTGTGTGGGTGGAAATGGCTGAAGTCTCAGGCATGGGGACTGAAATGGGACTGCTTAATTCCAGGTGTTCGTCATGATCCCAACATGAAGTATGAGCTGCAGCTAGCGAATCCCAAGGAGTTTTACCATGAGGTTCATCGCCCATCTCACTTCCTCAACTTCGCCTTGTTGCAGGAAGGGGAGGTCTACTCTGCAGACCGAGAGGATCTCTATGCATAGACCTGGGCTCCGAGAACTCACCCAGACACAGAAAAGACTTAGTACTGTTGATATTCAACAGTGGGTACCTTGCCCCAGAAGAGTTAGTGATCTGCAGGCATTCCCCTGTATGGCTTTCAGTGTTCATTGCTTTAGATGCTTTTGTGTCTAGTCACTGACTGCAGGATTTGTGTAAAGTGTCAGTCCAAATGTACTTTGTGATTTTGGAGAATGGCTTAATAAATTTTATATAACTGGGAACTCTACATTGTCCTTGCGCCTCATCAGTATGAAAGCTGGGTTCAGTGTCTGGCTCTGCCACCAATTTCCGGTGACCTTGGAAGTCATTCATGCGAAGATTCTTAATTGTGCCTGTTACTTAAGTGTTGTAGCATCTGGGAGCCCTAGTTGTGGACCAGGAATCCATTGTACTAGGCATTGTACAAATGGGGGTGGGGGGAAATGTCCCTGTCCCAAAGAGTTTACCATTAAGTAAAAGATGAAACAGATGGGGACAGACAGGAGTACAAGGAAACGATGAGACCACATTGATCAGCATAGTATGTGGTCCCAGCACAGTAGGAGCTTAGCTGTTGTCAATTTCTTTTTTTGTAAGCATCCCAGCAAAGGGGAATTTTAAAGAGGGATTTGGAGGAGGATAATGGTGAGGTAGTGTTATGCATATTTATGGGGAGCTCCTCTGTTGGCATTATTTATGATGCAAGGTATTACCACAACACTAACTTAACCAGAAATTTCTTTATTAAATCCAAAGGCTGAATGGTATTTATACAATTACTTTAAACTTCCTAAAAATAAGTCACTACATCCAATACAGAGAGAGTATTTGTGAGCATGTGATTGGTCTACTTACACGTTGGCCAGACTTAGGGAAAACCATCTCATCCTGGTGTGCTCCAGCATGAGTAGGTAGGGGTCTGACAAAGAACCCTCAAATTCGTAACTCTTCATACCCTTCAACAAACAAATGTCATAGCCAATTCCACTCAACTAATTTGAGACAGTTTACTCTAATAAGATTTACAACCTCCTTTCTTCCAAAGTCTTTTCTCCTCCTTCCCCGCCTTCCTGCTGACCAATAGCTTTTGCCTTGGATCGGGATTTGCATAAGTTTTACTTTTAAGATAACACTCTGGGTTGGGAAGGTCCATGTAGGAGACCAGATTCTTTGTCTTATTTTAAACTATCTGCAGTCATCCGTATTGTTTTAGAAACTTTCCCTTATCTCATTGTTTTTTAAACCAGACATTCTCCCTACTCCATTCTTCTGGTCTTATAACTCATTAGTTTTAGGCCCTGACTAACACGTGGAAGGAAGGCCTTTTCTTTACAACACGTTCTCTTTATACCAAATTCAAGCGAACCCATTCTTTAATTTCACATTTATTCTCAATCCTCCCAAACGTGGGGCAGTATCGGAGCATGAAGGGGCTTGTTTGAAAACATAAGGCGGTGATAGAGACTGCACTGATCAGAGGCAGACAGTGGCAGTGCTTCAGTGAATGAGAAATGATGGGGTGAGATTTGCTATGGAGGCCTTTGAGCATGGACACAAGCCCTGTGTTGTGGAGCCAGGGGAGGGATGGAAAGAGAGAGGTGCTCAAAGCTCAGCGCTAGGAGCATAAGCGTTGGGAGCAGCCTGCTGCATGGACCTGAGCAGGACACGACGCCCAGGGAGGAGGATGGTCCGGAAGAACGTGGCCGAACTCGCGGAGAGCCCTGCGCAGGCTCCTGCTGAAAGGGGCCAGCTCTGCCCCGGCTGCGGGGGGGGTCAGACACCGCAGCAGGGGCTGGGCCACGCTCCGGCCTCACCTGCCCCAGCGCTGACCGCCTGGGCCCAGCGCGGCTACGGGCGCCGCCCGGCACCGAGCCGGGGGGCGGGGCGGGGGCGGGGGCGGGAGGTCGCAGCGCTCCGGGGCGGGGCGGAGCGGGGGCGGGGGAGGGGCGGAGGTCGCAGCGCTCCCCGCGCGGGG